GCAGGGATGGGGCTCCCGAGGGGGTCCCGCTCCTGCGACTCGCGCCGTGACTGTGCTCGCCCTCGGCCTCCCCAAGAGTGCTGGGATTACCACGGCTTGAAGCCCCACCGCGCCGCCGTCGAACCAATGGACATCACTACCCTTGCTTTAACCAACTACCTAGCGCGCCGACTGGGCCTTCGCTACCAGACCAGAGCAACAGTGAATCTCGGAGGACCACGCGCCCGCCTAAACTCGCGCCTTCGAGACCCCGACGATTGTAAGCGCGCGAGAGCAAATGACAATTCGACTACTACAGTGCTGGGTTGTTCCTCAAGGAAGCAGACCACCCGCATGCCTAATCAGAAGCACATCTGCCCAGGGCGAAGCATTTCAAACTTTCAACAAAGCGCATACCTGTACCAAAATCGGAGCATGGGTCCAAGGTTGGGTGCAGTGCGTCACGCACTGTAATCCACACTGGCGCCGGTGCGCGGCAGGGCCAAGCGCGGGGCGGCGATCACCTGAGGCCAGGAGTTCTGCAAGACGCAGCCTGGCAACATCGGAGAAACCCCATCTCTAGTCGACGGGCAAATACAAAAAAATTAGGCTGGGCATGGTGCGGGCGGGCCACCTGTACGTCCCAGGCTAACAGGAGCCGCTGAGGCAGGAGAATCACTTGAACCCGGGAAACAGAAGTTGCAGTGAAGCCGAGGATCATGTGCATTGCTACCCAGCCTGGCAACAACAACGAAACTCCATCCTCGAAAATAATATACATAATAACAATAATCCATCGGGTCAAACGAACAATTCTCCAACGCAGAAATTACAAATAGTTGTTCGAACATAAATAAAACAGCCACCGCAAATTCTGTGGTAATAAAGCTCACTGCTTAGAGGCCCAAACATTTATATGCCTCCAAATCGATTACATATTGACCAAAAACAGATAGATGTCAAACTCAGGCAGGTTTGAATCCTGGTTTGGGCACCTAGAAGCTGTATGAACTTAGGCAAGTCATTCCTGCTGTATCATAAAAGCCTCAGTTTCTTCATCTGTAATTTGGGGATGTCATAGAGCCTGCTTCAAGGGATGACTGTGAGGATTAAATGGGATAGTACCGCTGAAGCTCCTGGTACAGAGTGAACACTCAATGAGTGTGAGATTTTGATGCAATTGTGAAGACTGTGGTTGTCATTGTTCTGGCACCACTTGGCGGGGCAAGCAGAACGAGGGTGGGACTCACACTCCTGCGGAATGGTGGTCAGGAAAGACTTCTTGGAGGAGGAGGCACTGAGACAGGGCAGCAGGATGACTGGGTCCCACCACTATCCCCACAGAGAGCAGGAACCCTGTGTGAGCATCCCAGGCCGGAAAAGGCACTCCTCCTTCCACAAAGGGCGGACTTGTTCCCAAGGATTTTTGGCTGGACCTAGAGCTGACCACGTTAGATGCCTTTGCCTTCCACATTTAGGTCTCTAATCCACCTGGAATTGATTTTTGTGTCTGGTGTAAAGATCCAATTTCTTTTTTCCCCCCGTTTCTGAATGGATAACCAGTTACCCCTGCTCTGTTTATTAAAAAGTCCATCCTTTCCTGCTGATTTGTACACCATCTCCTTCATATATCACGGTTCCATATGTGCACGGATCAGGGTCTGGACTGGATTCTGTTTCATTGGTCTATTTATCTACCCCTGTGCCAATACCACCCTGTCTTAATTACTGTAGCTCTATAGCGATTCCTGATGCCTGGTAAGCCTGTCCCCCTGGCCTTGTTCTTCTCCCTTAGAAGGACCTGGGCTTGCTTTGGGCCTGTGCTCTTCTCTACATGTTTCAGAACCAGCCTTTGATGGGTGAGGATCGAAGAGCCCTGGGGAACTCTGGACATGCTGTCCTCAGCACGAATCATCTAGAGCCTGGGCCTGCAGCACCTCCTCAACTCCCTGCTGCCATCACCC